AGACATTTTTCCAAAGAAGACATCGAATGTCCAACAGACACATGAGAAAATGCTCCACATCAATAATCATCAGGAAACAGAAATCAAAACCACAATGAGCTATCACCTCGCACTTGTCAGAATGGCTAGTATCAAAAACACAAGAAACAAGTGTTGGTGAAGATGTGGAGAAAATGGAACCCTCATGCATTGTTGGTGGGAATGTAAATTGGTGCAGCCACTGTGGAAAACGTATGGAGGCTTCTCAAAACTTAAAAAAAAAATAGAACTACTGTATGATCCAGTAATTCCACTACTGGGTGGAAATGAAAACACTAGTTCCAAAAGATACACGCACACCTGTGTTTATTGCAGCATTTACAACAGCCAAGGTATGGAAGCAACCCAAGTGTCCACTGCTAGATGGCTGGATAAGGAAAATGTGGTGTGTATATATATACAGTGGAATAGTAATCATAAAAAAGAATGAGATCTTGCCATTTGCAACAATATGGATGGCCCCAGAGAGTATTATGCTAAGTGAAATAAGTCTGATGGAGAAAGACAAACACCGTATGATTTCACTTACATGTGGAATCTAAAAAACAAAACAAACGGACAAAAGCAGAAACAGACCCATGAATACAGAGAACACACTGATGTTTGCCAGAGGGCATGGGGGAGTGGGCAAATAGGTGAAGGGGAGTGGGGGGCATAAGCTTCCAGTTATGGAATGAGTAAGTCACCCGGATGAAAGGTACAGCACGGGGAATACAGTCAATGGTACTATGATGGTCGGGAGCTACCAGTGGTGAGCACAGCAAAACATACAGACTTATCCAGTCACTATGTCGTACACCTGAAACTAATGCAACATTGTGTGTTGACTATACTTCAGTAAAAAAGAAAGGAGAAAAAAACAACATGGTTCGGAGCCCAGAAGCTCGGGGGTCCAACTGTGGCGCTACCTGTTCCTAGCTGTGTCAGGCAAGTTACTTACACTGTGCTGGGCAAGTTACACTGTGCCTCAGCTTTCCCATCTGTAAAATGGACAGAAAGGCCCCTATTTTATAGGGCTCTTAGGAGGGATAAATAAAACACGTGTAAGGTGCTTAGAACACTGCCTGACATATAGTCAGGTCTTACCAAATGTAGCTGGCATGCTTGACACAGGTCTCACAGCCCCACAAACTCAGTTAAGTCCCAGACTTTTGTTTTCATATTTTCAAACCCTGCCCCTCTGCCCCAATCCTGCTTCTCCCCTTCCTTCCTTTTCCAGTGAACGTCATCACCCAGAAGTCACTTTCTCTTTTCCACTTCCAGCTGATCATCAATACCTGCCAATTAGTTCTAGATGCTACTCCACTGCTCTTTAATTAAGGCCCTCACCTCTTGCCTGGATGATCACAGTCATGCTCTCCTTGCCTGTACCTCTTCTGGTCCGAAGTCCTCTATCCAAACACAGACCTGCTCGCACCCCATCCCTCTCCTGCCTGACGTCTGCCGGCCCCCCTGCCCTACTGGTGAGATCCCAATCTCCATTGCACCGGCCTCCGTGCTGGTGTGGCCCACCTCCTGCCTCGTCCTCCTGCCGAGAGGCCCCAGAGCAGGGCCCTGGGGCGAGTGGGGCCCTGGAGCCCAGCAAGGGGGCTGGTGATGGCACCATGTTGCGGTGATCACCTCAGGGACAACAAAGGGGCTTTGGGGACTGAGCACCTAAGCTTCCTTGAACGGAGTCCATGAGAGGCCTCGCTTGGGTGACCCTGGACTCTAGTGAGGAGCCAGAGCACGCATGCGTGCAAAAACAAAAGAGTATGAACAGAGAGTTGTGCTCTGTGGTACCTGACATGTGGCCCCCAACTTCTAACAGAGGCTGTGTGAGCACTTCATTCCTGTTAATACCACCACGCGCAGCTCCCAGATAGGACACGCTGACTACATACTGGGGGCTGTGCTACGCCATTGTCATGGAGGATTTTATTTATTCCTTACAACTCCTGGCAGCTTCCAAACTGGGTCTGGCTCTAAAGCCTCGCTCTTAACCTCGCGACTGGGTCAGCGCACGCACTGCTTCCCCGCCGCTCTCTCGGACTCTTTTGCTCAGCTGCCGTCCATTTCTCCCACTGGCCTGCCTGTCTTAAGTGATCATGTCATCTTCTGACACCGAGGACCACGGATCAGGAAAGACACCCAGGTCTCTCCACGCCCTCCAGGTAGCGCCCGGCCCGTCTGTGGCTCCCGCCCGCGGCGCCTTACCCCACCAACCGGGAGCCAGTCGGCCCGTATTTATGACTTCCTGCAAGGGAACTCAGGTTGCGCCAGGCGCTGGCACGGCTCGGTCCCACCTGGGGCTGTGGCGAAGGCAGGAAGAGAACAGCACACTGCCTAAAGCCAGAGAGGAAGAACACGTCTGACACTGAATCAATCGTGGGCACACAACCAGTCCCTTTCCCAAATGCTAGGATTTGGTAAAAGGGGGTTCTGCTCATTATGTGCAATCAAAAAAAAAAAAAAAAATCCTCCTTATTTCAACAGAAGAGGCCATGATCTTCCAGATTTCCATGGGGCAACACCCCTGATGAAGGCAAAGAGCCTTTTTTAAAGTGAATTAATGAATTTGTTTGCAGAAGAGACAGGAAGAATAAACCACGAAAGCACAATTTAACGGATTCATCTAAGCTTGGACAAACCAGTTAAGATGCATGCTATCCTGAGCTGGAATTCCACACGCGGTTTTCTCTTCTCCTCCGGCAGCAGATCAAGACTGTACCTTGTCATCTTGGAGGCTCTGTGTCTCCTGCATGGTGACATCATGGCCGTTGTTGTTCCTTTAGTAAAAAAAAGAAAAACAAAAAAAACAAAAAGGAGAAGACAGACTGGGAGGGAGGGAGGAAGATTCAGTCTGTTCCTTAATCACCAACACGGAGTGGGATGGTTGCCACTGACACCTCGTTCAAGGGGGGTTTTGAGGGTCCACGGGAGGCTATGTCTTTACAAAGCCCGTGATTTCACAGCCCCCTCCCAGAAGAGGGCATGCGAGTTTCTTCAGCTAAGCAAGTAAAAATACTTCACACGTCGGTGAAGCCTATTATCTCAGAAAGTCTCCCCCATGAAGAGAATCGGGGTAAAGAGCATTTATCCCACCATCACAGTGGGCAATGCGTGTGCAAGAGCTGGGGCTTTTCGCCTTCACACCTGAGCCTCCCAGAAGGAGAGCCCCAGCCAAGACACCGGCTCTACAAGGCCCTGTGGTTAAAACGGCAAAACTATCACCAGCCGGGAAATTGAACTTATTCACATTCTGTGCTGCCTTGTTGGGGGTGGGGGGGGATTTTCCAAGCTACCATTAAAATGCTCATGGTCATCCCCAGCAGCCCCCAGGCTCACCCCGGTGCAGAACACCCACCCACCCGTGGCACAAGAGCCTCTTGCTGCCAGTTAACTCTCTTGGGTTTTCCTCGATCCACTCTCACAGACTCAGTTACCACAGCCCCAAAGCAGGCAAGATAAAGCCCTATGCTGTCCTCCCTTCTTCCTAGAAAAGCACCCGCGTTCCCCACGCTTGTGTGGAGGTGGACAGCTGCTTCTGAGGAAGGGAACTTGGGACTGTCGCTGTGTACTGCATACCCTCTTGCCCCGCTGCCTTCTACCCCCACACTTGTCCCTCTTCCATTCAAAACCCCAGTTACAGGGGCGCCTGGCTGGCTCAGTCACTAGAGCATGTGACTCTTGATCTCGGGGTCTGAGTTCAAGCTCCATGTTGGGTGTAGAGATGACTTAGGTAAAACTTTAAAAAAAAGGGGGGGGGATTTTAAAGTACATACAGTACTGGTTAACTTGGGTCTTGCCTGAACAAGGAAACTTACCTATGTGTAATGTGTTTACTCGGACAAACCTACTTCAATTATATCACAACTGAAAATCTAGGAACAGACCACAATAAGGAAATGTGGGCATCTTTCAGACCATCTAGCAGCTGGTCAGAAAAACGGAGCCCCATGGGGCCGAGCAGTGAGCAGTTCCTATTTCAGGCCTCTGCCATTCACCCCCCCGCCCCCCCCCCCACCCCAGCACCCCCAGGCTGGGAGATAAGCACGCTTCTTGATAGTTTTAGTTCATCGTAAAGACATGGTTTTGCCCTCCAGGAACCAGCTAGCTCTGCATGAGTGAATACAGTGCAGGTGCAGAACATAAGTCACTGAAGTGGGAAAGAGGGGAAGGACAGAGAGAGATGGCTTTGGGTTTGGACGGCTGTGGAGAGAAATTTGAAGCCAAAAAGAAAAGGTCTTTGATTTGGACAGAAAAGGTGTGGGCCGTTCTGCTGTGCTGGAAAATATTTCACCGTAGGCTCCTGTCAACAGGAGAGCACAGACCCTGATGGGTGACCCCTGGTCCATCCCAATGGCTTGGCACAAGCAGCCGGGTAGCAGCATCTGCGTTTCAACAGCAACCCGACCAGGGGAATGGAGATGCTGCCTGAGCCTCCTCCCAGGCCTCCACTCAGAGCTCGCGAGACGGTGCAGGGAAGACGCAGGGCACGTTTCTCAAGGCCCAGTGGAGCACAGTTTGGGTCCCACCCCTTCCTCTGAACAAAATCACCCTCACAGGGGCACTCAGTCCAACCCCTTCTGGTTAGGGCACAGGCAGCAGAGCTCTGCTGCCCGTGGCACACCCCGGTGGGCAACCCTAAAGGAAGCCTTGGATGGTGTACCCCTGGCTCCACCTAAGCTTCAGCCCTGCATCCCCTCACTGCTCACATCAGCACTGGTCACTGCTGCCAGGTTGACCTTCGTGTCCTCACACCATCATCCTGAGACCACCTCAACACCAGCTGCCATGAGTTCTGCACCCCAGCACTGCGCGGGACCCTTTCAGCTCCCATCCCCATTTTACAGGCAAGGAGACTGCTGCTTAAAAGGACTAGGATCACGCAGCTAGGGAATGGCAGAGCCTAGCTGGGAACCCCGGGCTTCTAGCTCTCAACCCAGTTCCCATGCCCCTACACTGACCAGCGAATGCCACAGAGGGCGCTCAGAAAGATGTCTAGGACACCTATTCAAACCTGTGTCTACGCTGCTGAACTGCATCTGCTCTGATAGCGTCAGCACTGCGTTCAGCAGCCTTCACATAGCAGGAAACCCAAACAGTGGCCAAAACAACTGTTTCTGTAAAGGAAGTCTGGAGCTAAGCAAGGAAAAGCTGTGACATCATCAGTGTGCCGCAACTCCATTTTTCTGCCCCACCATCCTTATCATGTGGTTTCCATCCTCATGGTTGCCTCATGTCCCAAGATGGCTGCTGGAGTCCCAGGCATTATGTATGTGTTCCAGGCAGGAAGTTAAGAGGAATGTTTACCTACCCACTGAGTAAATTCTCTTTAAAGACCTTTTCTTGAAGTCCTACCTAATGACCCTGCCTTCCATCTTATTGGCCACCCCTTTGCCCAAGAGGTTGGTAAATAAAGTTTTATTAATACACTCCCACCTCAAATAAAACTGAGGTCTGGTTAGTAAGGAAGGAAAGAATGGATATGGCTGGTTAGCTGCCACAGAAGTATCCTTGGTAATGAGCTGACTTGTGATAAGATTATAGTGAAAGCACTTCCAGTGACCCAGGGGAGAGAGAACAATTAATTCATAGAGAACATCCGCGTCTCAATACTGAGATTGAATTCAGGTTCTGATGAATTGCTTTATAAACTTCCAGCAATATCCCACCATCACCTAGAAATGAAGTCAGACTAATTATTAAATAAATTACAAAATAAAACGGTGCAGGCAGGTGGCATTGTCTGCAGCGTATTTCTTTGGCAGTCAGGGTGAAGCCCTGTACTAGATGAAATCCATGTTCCCTAAATCCTTGCGACTCAAACTGTGGTCCCCAAGGACCAGAAGCATTGGCATCACCAGGGAGCATATGAGAAATTCAGAACTTCAGCCCCCTACCCCAGAACTAAACCAGAATCTGCATTTTAACAAAGGCGCCAGGGGATTCCCATGCACATTAAAGTTTAAGAAGCCTCGTTCAAAAGGCATGATTTAAAGAACCTCTAATGGGTCCATAATCTCCTAAAAGCCTCATCTCAGGAAGCAGCCTCCTCTAAGACTTTTCATCTTTAGGAAGACTGAAAATTACAAGGCCACCTCCCTGAGAAAAACATACATTTAAACCATTATCACTTGTGATACAATAATACCTAATGTTTATTGAGAGCTTAGTCTGTGCCAGGCACTGATCTGAGGGCCGTGCGTATCTTTCTGCCTTTAATCCTAACAATTCTGTGAGGTGGCTACTATTACCATCACCGTTCCCATTTTACTGATGAAGACTGAGTGCCACGTTACCCAGCCAGAAAGCATCAGCAGGGGCACAGGTGGACAATGTTTTATCCAGGTGAAGGGATCTTAAGCGTCGGAGAACAGACAGGGGCAGTGTTTCAGGATGAGGCGGTAGCTTGGTGAAGTACACTCCAGCCAGGAGGCTGCTAGGCCACCTGCGGTGACCTCGTATAGCCCCTGGAGCCCTGGAACCTCACCTCTCTTACCTGCGTCCCAGGGGAGGAGGGGGGCGGTGTGGAGCCAGACGGCTTGCAAGCTCTCATCCAGCTCCCACATTCCTCAGGTCTAGGTGTGCCTGCCCTGTGATCTTGAAATCAGTTGGCCCTAGCGGCCGCAAACCCCCACTAACTTTCTGCAGCTTCACCCAACTGCCGCCACGTCTGGCCGCAGCCCAGCTCCGTCCAGAGACCCAGATGTGGGACACCCCAGGGGGACTGGACCCCCTCCCAAGCAGTCAGAGGCAAATAAACACAGCTGCTGCCAGCCACCCTCACCCAGCGCTCCCACTCGACTCAGGTCGGGGGAAGGGGCTGGGTGAAGCCGATTTTCTGCACAGTTCCAGAATAAATCAGACTTGATACGCAATGTCCACAAACTCCTAGCCAAAGGAGACAGGGTTTGCCAAAGCTCCTAATGGGGTATTCCCACTCTGCCCACCCCATCTGAAAGGGCTGGCTGTCCCACCCTTCAACTGGTTGACAGAAGCCGGAAATAAGGGGTGAAGGAAAAGCCACTCAGACTTAGTTCAAGGCAGAAGGCGCCTGGTGCCCCTCCTGGCACCTTTGCAGGGTACATATCCAGCTAACAGATTTGCTAAATGGAGTGGAAAGCTTTTCAGAGTGTCCTCTCAGTTCAGAGTGGACCCCATAACAACATCCCTCCCTCACCACCCCGACACGGCCAGAAGCCATGTGTCTGCCGTAGGAGCCCTCCATTGCCACGGCTAGGGCCGACCGGTCTACGGCCAGCACCGGAGCCCAGCTGGACCACAGCCTCTCTCTCTCAGTCTGACAAACTGGAACCAAGAGACCATCTCCAGAGGCTGGACCCATGACAAACCAGCTGAGGATCTTAGAGTGAGGCATCTTCTACCCGAGCAATCTGCACAGCTGGGAGAGAGAACACAGCAGACACACAGCGTAGGTCAGAGTCCAAGAGCCCAGGCTCTCGTTAGTCCCGTCCCAGAGCTAGCCAGTCCTGAGCCCCCTGGGTCCTGAGCCTCACCCTGTATCCTAGAATAAAGGTCTCCTGTAAGTAAGCTAGCTCCAGACAATTCCATTACTTGTCACCACGGAAGTCTTAACACTGAGGCGGGCATGCATGGTACTCAGACTCATGTCCATGGCGAGACGAAGCCGGCTGAGATGTGCTTTGGCTCTGAGGGAAAGAAAAGAGAATGAGACACATCTCTACCCTCAAGGAGCTCATGGGCTAGTGTGGGACCTCAGCCAACGTATTAAATGTGGTGAAAAGAACACAGAGTACCGGGAAGGAAACAAGCCTGAGGCAACAGGAAAGGGGCAGACAGCCAGGAGAGCTTCCTGGAGGAGGGGCTGCTTGAGCTGAACTTCAGAGATGGAGGGGGGAGAGGACGTTCCTGGCAAAGATGAGCACAAGCCCAGAGAAGGGTGGGCTGGCATGGTTTGGGGGAGAAAACCTGCATGAGGAGCTGTACTAGATGAGGCGGGAAGCAAGGAAAGGGAACAAGACACAGGCCTCCAGAGGCTTGCAATTTAGAGGAAAACCACATGGAAAGTTTAGAAAAAGTCCAAGACCAGCAAACAAGAGCCTTCCAAACAATTATCACGAAATGAGTGGTAGCTGCAGCAGGACAGAGGCTGAGAGGAAGGAGAACCCCCTTTCAGCTTGGCAGTTCAGGCAGAGGGAGTTAGGCCTCGAAGCGCAGTGCTGATTCAAACAGGCAGCGCCTGGCTGCCTGGCTGCGTCCTTGCGAACAATGCTATCAAAAACGTTCGATGTTATAGAGAGCTCCAGATTTCCTAAACCGCTTTCTCATTCGCCAGCACTCTGCGGGGTAAGGAATGTAACAGAATCGCCGCTGTTTGATGGTAGGGAAGCAAACACAGACTGAGTGAGCCCCCCAGGGTCACGGAACTAGTGAGTGGGGCAAAAGCTCAGGCCCTCCTCCCGCACCCCAACCCTCCCCACAAACAAGGGAACAAGCAGCACACGTCAGAGTAATCCTAACCCTGCTCTGAAGCTCCTGGGCCAACCCACGTTACCTTCTCCTTTGTGGGCAGCTCAGAGGAGTTGAGAGGTACCCTTTAAGACGGAGAGAACACAGTACGTCCTTGTTTAATTTAGTATTTGTCTTCCCCACATGATTGCAAGCTCTAAGAGGGCAGCCACCATAGGACTTGTTCAGCATTAAGCTCAGTACCTGGTCCATAATTAGGAGTGTGTTCAAGCTGATTTCACGACGGAATGAGAATGACTAAGAGAGCGAATGAACCAAACAGAAAGGAAGAGGAGAAATGGGAGGCGGGGGACAGAGGCTCCCCATGGCGGTGAGCGCAGCCTTCTCACATGTGGAAGTGAGCTGTCCAAAGCTCTCCTCCTCCTTGCTGCCTCCCTTCCAAACCTTCAGGGCATCAGTGCAGAGGGCAGGCAGGGGTGGGAGAAGAGAGATGCCAAAACTACAAACGGCAGGGTGCTCTTTGCTAACTCTGCAGGAACAGGAGGGTCAGAGGCTAGTGTGCGCGTGGTCCCCGGTGAGACTGTGCACAAGTTCTTGGTAAAAGACACAGTCGTACCTACGTTTTAGGTGTGATCTTGAGGTGTGAACACTAAGCACCTACTGTGATGTTCTATTTGGAGTTCTGCTCAGTCAGGACAAGTTTCTGGAAGGATCTTTCCCATGTTCTCCTTGGATCACATTCTCCAGCTTCCCCCTGTGGTTGCCCTACAGTAAAACCCACTCCCAGGAGGGAGGTGAGGCACTGTCACCTCACCTGGCAACTAACTGTCCACTTACTTTTTAGCCTCCACAACAAAAGGCTGAAAAGAAACCAAAAAAGACAGGGAAGAACCAGTCAGGAAAGCAGTAAAAAGGACGGCCCCCCCACCCCATCCTGTGGTCCTCCAGGAAAATTCCGAGCTCCCTCCTGTTCTCATCACCCCTCTTCCTACACAGCCCCTCCCTCCCAAACTGGCACCAACACTGGGTAAGCAACAGCTGACCTAGAGAGGTGTGGCTGGTGCCAAGAACCACAAGCAGTTCATCTGGCACGGAGTCTAAAGGAGAAATAGCTCTTTGTTTCATCCACCAGAGAGACGACCACCAACTCCTGCCACAAAAATTCCCACACTCCCCTCTCTGTCAAGGCAGGGAGACATGTCCTCTGGCCCTTCCAAACCCAGAACATCCAGCTGAAGGCAAAAGCTGCTTATCCCACGTGACCTCCGGCAGATGTGGACGGCAGAGCCAGCCACCGTGCCAGCTACCCAGCCCCCCCCAAAGGCTGCCCCTGGCTGAAGTCTGGACTCGTCTCCTGCTTGAAATCTCACACGACCAGGAAAGAGGCTCTATTTTTACCCTCCTCACCCTCACAGACTTCCCTCCAGAGTCTTCACTCTTAGGGAGAAAAAAAAATAAATCCCCATACTGAGGAAGTGATGACCACACGACAGGGAACGGGTCAGAGCGAGGGAGGGAGGGATTCTTAAGTAATTCAAGACAGGGCAGGCATACGCCTCACACTCACAGCCAGAGAGGATGGAGGCCTTCAGGGCTCTTCCTCCACATCATGGGATTTGAGGCCTGCCCCATGATTTTCAGGCAAACTTTCCATTAACCAAAAAAAGCACTTCATTCTAATGAACCCTGACCCATTTGCTGAAGTAACCTCAGGCACACCCCCACAAGCCTGTGTGCATGCAATCCGTCCATCTGTTATGAGGCAGAAGCCACACACACCTCATCCTTCCCGGGCTCTCAGTAGCTCCTAAGTGAGCAGATTTGGAGCTTTTTCATCATGTTTATGAACACACTGTAAAAAATGAATGAATGAATGAATGAGCTAATGTTTAAAAAAAAGACAACACTGTGCCTGGGAAGGACTAAAACTAAATTTAATAATGTTAAATCCCAGTTTTCCAAGGGAGAGGGAGAGCCCCACAGATTAGCCCTAACAGTTTCAGCTGTAACAAAAACCCTGGGCTGTAACACCGAGGGGAAATTCTGCAGTATCCTGACAAAATGTTTTGAATCATGGGACTATGGGGGTATTTTCATCAGGAGCTGTGCTTCTCACCAAAGGCAGTGGGCAGAAACAATTTCAAAATACTGAGGCTCTCAGCAAAACAAAATTCTGATATCAAAATGAAATTGGATCCTCACCTATTCTGCTACTGTCCTCATAGGGGTCCTTAAAAAACCCTTCTGCTGAGATGGAGCTATTTGGTTGTCTAAGAAAACTCTTGATGGTGTCACACTGACTCACTTTAAGAGAAAATCCCCACCCGAGTCCTTCACCAGAAAGGTCTGACCAACCTGGGTTTGGCAGAATACTTCTGTTCCAATCCCTTCGTAGGACAGTAAGAGTCTTCCCTTCAGCTCCTCTGCACCCTCCCCAAAGTTGTGAAGAGGCATGTGTCAGCCCCCTAGGCTTCCTCCTGCCCAAGCATCCCAGGTGCCCCCTGCCCCCCTCTGCCTCCCACACTCGCTCTATGACATGCCAGTCTTCTCCCAGAATTCAGGAGTAAGCACGAGCACATTCCTTGAAACTATCCTCTTGTTGAGAGGTTGCTAATTCTTCCTTTCCTCTTTCTCTGGAGTTGAGATTTACTATCACTTGACTTTATAATCTGTATTTTACTAAAAAGCTGTACTGATGATACATAGCTCATAAATTAAATAGAAGTAAAATTATTTTTGTTTTAGGACTTCTCTGTGAATTTCCCATATCCCCCAAGATCACCAAACACCAGACAACTGGAGCAGGAATTCCTTCTTATGTGTTTTCTGTCTCCAACTGGCTGCAAAGTCCTTCAGGGGCAGAGCCAATCACTGAATAAATGTAAAGCAGTTAACTGTAGACAGTATTTTGCCTTAAGTTTCCTTCTGGGTGTATTTTTTTGTTTTAAAAATGAAATACTCTTGGGTATGTTACTATACGGAAGTACCAGCTGGCTGCAATGATTCCGTTCACTCTGACTTCTTTGTCAGCAGTTATTCTACACATTAGGGAGGGAAGGAATTCTCCAAATTCTAGCTGCATAATTTCATGGTCTTCCTCCTCTTCTGGGTGTGGGGTAGGGTAGAGAACCAACTCACCACTCAGGCTCCTGCAGGTCCGACAGCTGAATCAGTCTTGAACAAAGGGCCTCTTATCAATCACCGGTCTCAAAGCCTACAACTGTCCAATCAACAGTAACCATTATGTGGCACAACAGGGCCCAGGGGCATTAGCTATTAACCTTAGCCTGCCATTTCTCCCATTCCAATGCTGGGTGGCAGAGTGCTCCCTAGAGCCCGCCCAATGTTTAATGACCCATCAGGAAAAAGCATGACAGGGGCGCCTGGGTGGCTCAGTCGTTAAGCATCTGCCTTAGGCTCAGGTCATGATCCCAGGGTCCTGGGATTGAGCCCCGCATCGGGCACCCCGCTCTGCGGGAGGCCTGCTTCTCCCTCTTCCACTCCCCCTGCTTGTGTTCCCTCTCTTGCTGCGTCTCTGTCAAATAAATAAATAAAATCTTAAAAAAAAAAAGGAAAAAGCATGACATCCACAAGTATTCTCTCTCCTGGTAGGTAAATTTAGAATATTTTGTTCCATAACTTTCATTCCGGCTGACACAGAGGAAAAAAAAAATGTAAGGCTTTTATTGAAACCTATGTGGCAAGACAAAGCCTCAGAAAGCAGACCGCTTAGATTTAAACAAGTACCGCATCAACGAGAGCCGAATCGGAGTTGTCCGCAAAAGGAAGTTGTTCTTTATTCCAGAAATAGCTTTAGAAAGTAACGAGCGTGGTGCTAATTAGAGAGGAGCAGGGCAGGCTTGCCTATCAAAGCACCCACCCTCCCTGGCTGATGCTTGGAAAACAGGGAGGTATTTCTGAATAACCCTTTTAAATGCTATTCGGAGCTGAGCTTTGTACTTCTGTGTAACCACAAGTTGCTGCTCCTAACAGTGTCACCAGGTATCTTAAATAATTGTACTGGGGAAAAGTGACGCTTTGAGCACCGAAGCAAGAACGGGATTTTCAGTGAGTGCAGTGGGCGGCGGCCTGGTAGGCCGAGGGCGCAGGGAGCCGTCAGGCTGAGTGCACTGGGGTCCCGCAGTGCTTGTGCCACAAATCGATGGCCTTGCTCACAATCGCGTCCGAGCTGTCCCGGGGAATCTGTGGACAAGCAAACCAGTCGTTGTGAAACTTCAGTGTGTATGACATTCTCGTCTCCCTCATTCGCCGCACCACAGCACTTACATCCCCATCCGCCCCCCCCGCCCCCCCAAAGGTTCTCACGACTTTTCAGAAGCGATCATGTGAAAGGCTGCGGCCAGGGTCTTTGTTTCACAGGCCACTGGAAGACAGGCTGAAGAGCTCCACTCAGACTACCCGGCTTTCAAGCCTGCACTGCCCACTGTGTGCCCCCCCGGCAGGCTACCTGAGTTCAGATCCCACCTCTAAAAGGGGGCAAATGACAGCCTCTCTTCCTAGGGCCATTTAGGATTATGTGGGAGACTCCGTGAAAAATACTTAGCATGGGCCCTGGCACTGTCAGCCACTAACAGGATGCTGAGGACTCCTGAACTCACCACGCCTTCACGTGGTGCTATTTACTGAGCCGCTATTCAAATGTTAATAGCGGCCAATTAAAAAAAAGAATAGATTCTGGGTCCAGTGAAATTCATCCTGGCATAAATCTCCTCCAACTCTCACCTGGTTAAGGGTATTCTAAGATACACAGACATTCATTTAGACCTTTCCCTACATGCACTAAGTATATACTTAAGCACATGATCAAACCCAAATGGGATTCCGCCAGATAGTAACAGCAATGAAAGGGCTTACAAAATCCCCCACAACATCAGGCTTCCTTTTCCACTAAGAAGGATTACTCGACCTCGCATGACAGATCTCACTCACCTCTTCCTTTTCTCAACAAGCTTCCTGGTGGTCACATCAGGCGATAAGACTCTGGTCTTCATGCACACACTCACGATAACAGTCTCACTCCTCAGACCATCATCCCCCAAAGAGAGGATGCAAACTATAACCCACAGATCAACTTTAAGCTGAATTTTTCCACGGGGAAAAAGTGTTTCTTATAAGGTAAAAATATCAGAGAAAGAATGTAATGCAATAGGAAAATCTGGCTTGCTAAATGGACTTCCTTTCTAGATTCAAAATCAAATTTTAAAAAAAAGCACACTTACATTTTCCAGAAACTTTGTTATCTTCTCTGCACTGTTCAGAGCCATTACTTTTATTTTAAAGGTTAATAAAATTTCCACAGCTACAAAAACTAGGATCTTACAGGATCCACTTACAACTTTATCCCAAACCCTATAAAAAAATCAAGTGATATAATAAAATTATGAGTTTGAAATTTATGTTTAAACATCTCAAATTACAAAATTAAATCAAATTACTCCTTTTAAGTATAAACTTCAGAGAAAAGCAGTAATGAAATAATCATCAGAAAAGCAAAAACACAACAAATCAGCCATTTTGAAACATATTTCACACACAATCAGCACTGGAAGGGAAAAAGGAATGATCACTAAAAAGTACTTGCTCTGTAAGAGATCCACCAGACACCCATTCCCTAATGTTTTGAACCTGACATTTAAGGGAAGGAAAGTCTTAAACCAAAGTTTGGATTTTATTAATATTGTGTAATGCTAATCTAATAATTAAATACTAAGGAATAATAAAAGCAGTATATGAAATGAGATCAATGCAATTTCATTTTCTAGTGGTTCAAATTCCTAAAACTTCTCCAAGAGCTTAAGGAGCTAGAGGGCACCTGGGTGGCTCAGTGGGTTAAGCGTCTAACTTTGGCTCAGGTCACGATCGCAGGGTCCTGGGATCGAGTCCTGCATTGGGCTCCCTGCTCAGCAGAGAGCCTGCTTCTCCCCTCTCCGCCCCCTGCCTGTGCTCTCTCTCGCTATCTCGCTCTCTAATAAATATAATTTTTTTAAAAAGAGCTTAAGGGGCTAGTTATTGATCTGCGACCACTCTAGAAAAACTATTCTGATAATTCCTATACCTCTTAAAGTTGGTGTTACACTCTATGTGCTTAGTCATGTACTGTCTTGTGATGTTCTCTGCATGTCACCTTTCTTCCCAACTACCTCATACAGTCTTGGGGAGGGGACAGGACTCTGAAATGCCAGCAACACATGTCTGAAACAAATGAAAGCTGAGTGTGAGTCTCTGATCTCTGCCCACCTTCAGCCACTTTAAAGATGTCACGATGGAACTAAGAAATAGGAAGATTTCCTCCAGATCAGGATCTACCACATTTCTGGACAAGAAAAGCCTAGACCTATATAAGCTCCCGGAGATGGTTTCAGATGTGAATAGTGTACAGCATCCAACAGACTGAGGCCTTCAAGTTTTCTAATTGTATATTCTAATATTTCTACCATTAATTTGTATTCATGTGAGGTTAACGTTACTAATATTCCAGCATTTCTAACTGTATAAATAATAAGTAGAATCAAGTTGCTCTGTTGCCTGCCAGAGAAGTTAGCTTCAAATTATGATATTGTCCTAAAGCAAATTCATACTCTGAAGGACGATCACATTTGAAAAACCAGGATGCTCCTCGGCCTTCAGGCCTTTGACCATCTCTGAAAGCGATACTTGCCTCTGTAAACTGGATTCAGGCAAGCACCCTGCGAAGCACCTCTTGAACCAGAGATCATAAGGAAGTCTGGACAGCGCAGAACGCGTCTTCAGATGACTCAGCAAACGGCTATCTTCCAGATTCAAGTATTGTTCAAAAGCCTTTGGCTGATGATTAAACAGGAAGGGAGATTACTCATTTCCTGTGACGTAACATTACCCGATCTTACAGCCTGTGATGAATAAGATGAATTGAATGTACATGCTGAATGCAAGTAACTGCTAGAAAACAAAACTTAAGACTCACCCAAGTCATGGGTGACGCAAAGTTCCCAGGTCAGCACTAACCAGAGCAACCAGCAATGTGGGACTGAGGGGTTTTCCAGGACGGGACCAGGCAAAACAAAACAGTTGTTCCCCCTAATGTGACCCCAACAGCACTAACAAGGTTCCACATCCAAAGGCAAAAGTCAACTGTTTGGGGGAACTAAGAAAGGCCCATGACGCTCCCAGGTGCCCTAGAGCCATCAATGATATACTCAGGAAAAAGGGAGAAGGGGAAAGGGTAAGACCAAAGAAACAGAGTGGGACCAAAATGGGGAGAGGGGGTTCAGAAGAATGAGACAAAAAGAACTGGACGTGAAAAGGGCCCACCGGTCCTAGACCACACCTCTGCCAAGCACTACTGTGCACCACGCCAAAGAGACCCCTACAACAGAGACATCCAGAGGAGACACTCTGTACCCCGCTTGCAGGAGAATTCTCAGGAGGCAGAGAAATAACGTGGGGGGAACAAAGCACCTGGATTCCATCTGGTAGCCTCTCCCGTGAAAGGTTAAGCAGCAGCCAACTCTAGGAGCCTGGGCGAGCTAACAAAGCCGGCTCCCAGACCAGCCAAATCCACCTGGCAAGCTGCTGTATTTAGGGTCCACTGGCCAAGAATGGCGCTTGGGGGTCAAACCCTGAAGTCTGTATTCCTTATCCAGAAAAACACGACGACATCCCATATCACCTAAGCAAATGCAAATGTTTATTTTACTAAATATCTGCATCTCGCCCAAAGAGCTAATTCATAACCCTTACAATGTTTGCTAGAGCCAAACCCTATGCTACATACAGGGAATAGAGTAAATGACATAATGACATAATGTCCCTGCCTTCAGGGAGCGTACAATCTGCTTGAGACAAACATATAGGGGCGCCTGGGTGGCTCAGTCATTAAGCGTCTGCCTTCGGCTCAGGTCATGACCTCAGGGTCCTGGGATCGAGCCCCACATCGGGCTCCCTGCTCAGCGGGAAGTTTGCTTCTCCCTCTCCCACTCCTCCCTGCTTGTGTTCCTGCTCTGTCTCTCTGTCAAATAAATAAATAAAATCTTTAAAAAAAAAAGAGAGAGAGAGAGACAAACATGTAACAAAGCTATCATGGGGTAAGCACAGGATGCTGGACACATTGAGGTGGGAATCCAAACCCAGGCTTTACAAGTCACCTTTTCCCAGAGAGGTGACATCTGAGCTGGCTTACAAAGAATGACGGGAACTAGCCAGGCAAAGAGAGGCCCACATATTAGTATCGGGCCCAGTTTTCTCCTCTTTCAGGGGATCTCTAATTTTTTCTGTTTAACCAAATTCCTAGACCTTCTCAAGAACACTACACACAGCTCCCCCAAACAGGAGTTTTCTCCAAAGTACAAGTTGTCAAAGGGCTCTTGTCCTCACCTTTCACCT